CCCCCTTCTCACCCTGAATTCGAGTTAACCGTGAGAAATTCGTTATCGGGAGTGAAAATTTCATTCGAGATATCCGGAAATTCGAGATAAGCGAATTCGAGTTAAACGGAGCATTTAACATGGTGTCCTACGGGGTTCCGCCGGGACCAAGCTTTGAACTTCGAGATAAGCAGAATTTCGACTTATCAGGATTCGAGTTAACGAGTTTTCACTGTATATTATATTATACCTCAACATCTCATGTTGATTCAACTTCGTGGTACGAATGATGGTTTTTGAAACCGGGCAGTGCCAATGCATTTGTCAGGATTGGAAGCGATGAGATATGCAAGATATCGGTTGCTAAAGTTTTTTGTGCACGAGTCTTCGGGTATCCTTCTATGTTCAGAACCGGGAATCGTCTCAATTAAGAATCTCTACCTCGACAAGTTTATTTATTTATTGGGCTGGTCTGGCCATGCCTAGCGACTTGGTAAATGCATCCCAAGGAGCTACAAAAACAGGTTTGTATTGTGGGTGATCGCGGGAGTCAGGATCTTTCAATCTCTTATCTTGATATGCTGCAACAGTCGGGTCTCCGGACGAAGGTCACTGCGTGTTTCATATAAAAGTTCTCACATTCGGAGAAAGACCACGAAGTCTTCCGACGTACTTTCATCAAGCCGAAACAGTGCTCCCATGTGTGACCCACAACCTTACAGAAACATCGCGGCAATTCCTCTCTGCCGAACGTGAAATGGAGGCTATCGTTATCGTCTTTCTCTAACCTTAAGTGCTTAAAGCCTGCAGCGATCGGCACATTCCCCGACCTTTTTCTGCGGAGCATAACGGGTATCGTAAGTTTCATGCAGATCAATCCCAAATTTCTCATCCTTTTTGGCTATTGAGGACTTATTGGAACTGGATGTGGGTTGTTACCTCATGGACGGTACACATTGATTAGAAAGGAGTGCCCAGCTAACGGGTGCGAGGAATATTTTATTAATGCCTTACGTAAACGCGATTGCATTCATGAGGGGGACTGAAAGATCCGCAGTGCTGCTGCTTACCAGGTTGCAGGCGGCTTTGTCGGGTGATGGTATGTGAGGAATTGTTCACAAAGACGAAGGAGGTACCTATTGAGAGGAATCACTTGCTCGTGATAGGATCCCATCATGCTGTTTACCCCTCCAAGTTCAAGGAGTTCTCAAGGCTGATTCGCCCGTTATCTGCCGACAAGTGGAGAGGATGAATATTGTGATACTTAAACGATACGCTGTCCCAGTTCTTGTGAAGGCAATTCTGTGTCAAGCCCGAGAAGGATGAAGTGGGGAAACTTTCCGGGGAAATCTGTCCGCTTCCCCCCTTCGGCCTTTCTTTCATGTGCGTCTCTAATCCCGAAGGGAATTGCCTCGCCCACAGAGCGTACGGGAGACCTCAAATATTGTTCACATACCTACAGCAGTGTTTTTTCTGAGTCTCTTGTTTGAACCTCAACAGGATTAGACAAACCATTCCTCCAGCTCACATTTATCAAGGAATTATGCGTTATGAATATAATTTTTTTTCCACTCTAACTCATAGGGCTGTTGAAAACATACAAACACAGTTTCTTTTAAAGGATTTTACAGATAATTTTAATGGGACAAGAGAGTCAAAGCCTGCACAATATTTTGCTAGCAGGTCGAGAAAAACCAAGTCTCAGAACATGAATGTGAATAAAGGATTTTATTTACTTTTTCATGTAATAAGGATTTCTGAATTCTATACTGGCTCAATCCATGCTAAGAATGCTGCTGATGGCAACCAGCCATCTCCGCATAAGGACATAGGCCTACATTGTTTTGAGCATTCTAATCTAAATTTAGGTCTAACTGAATATAAAAAAGAAATTTCTTCTTGGCTTTTGAAAATAAGCAAGTAACCAAAAAGGTAAGATAAATTTTAAAAAATTCCAGCATTAAGGTGAAAATGAGCATATGATCAATAGCCTCTCATAAAGTTTAGCTATGAGACTAGACAAATCACTGTTATCTTATCACAATGGACAAAATGGGAAAAATGAAGAGTGTAAATGACTGCCACAATCACGGAACATTCTACCTACACACAGCACATAAAAAACCTGAATAGTTTATCATGGAATGCGAGCCCCAGAGAGACTAAAAAGTGGAAGCATCATAAACATCCAGGTCTGACAACAGTTGAACATGGCACTAGGATGAGGATGAAGATGGATGATCCCAACACCTCATTAAAAAAAATAAAATAAAATTCTGCAACAGATATGACAGCAACACATCTCTACTAACACTCCTCCATCCAAAACAGATTATAACAAAAATGGGTATATTTACAATCACAGAAATGCATGATACTTAGCCATCACTTATGAAGATCAATAGTCAAAATCTAATGGGGGTGCATAGGAAAACCCTTGGAAGGCATCATCTGCATTCTGTACAGATGCAGTTAAAGCTCCACTATGGCTTGCATGTCCAACAGAGGCAGGCACTGGCTCTTTGGTGAACTCTGGATCGATGTTGGTTACATCATAAACCCCACTCTGTAAAAAACATTTAAATAAGAGTAAAGTAAAAAGATTCCTTCATCTAGGACTTACCATTCTTAACTATCATATAAATATACATATATTTCAAAAAGACATGTAAATAAAAACTGACCACTTTTGGTTTGAAGGGCGGTGTGATGGCCTTCTTGAGCAGACTGTCCCAATCGATTGAAGCAAAAAATGGGTGTGCCTTGATCAGTTCAATATCTCCATCACCTGAGCCAAGTCGATTCTCTCGATCCTTTTGAAGCAGCTATGAAAGTCAAAACAGAGATCAGTAAAGTAAGCCAACATCACAATTGCAAGTGGCATATTCTTAGAAGAAAAAATCAACTGAAACAGGACAAGATCCAGGTTCTAAAACTGAGACTTGCAGAGGGACTGAAGCTCAAGGGTATTAACAGCCTCATGGTGATTCATGCAAAAATGAGAAACCAAGAAAAGTTGGATATCATAATACAACACACATAAAAGTTTCTGCTGATAAAATCACTTGTCATACCAAGCCCTTCATGTGGGCCTCCTGCAAATCAAATCTCACCATCTAATGCCATGTTAACAAGAGAGAACATTAGTCATTCCATTCAAGTGGTCCAAAGGTGATTGCTGCATCAACTGGGATTTTGCTGTTAAAAATCACGTGTACTGGGGATTATGAGAAATGGATGAATCAGGCATTTCAGCTGTCTAGGTCAAACAGTCTTTGAGATATGCCCCATGAAAGTTCAAGAGGTAATGGAAAATTGATTGCTCAAACAAACGCATCTCCCAAACTACTTCAGCTAGAAATATGATTAATAGCTCATTACAAAACGAGTAGCCAGGCATCTCTAACTTTTTCTAAAGGTTTTTTTGTGCCTTAATTAGACAAAAGTTACAATTTTATGAAATTCATGAAATATTCAAAGTTTCAACCCTAAAAAATTCACAGTAAAAATACATGTAACTGGACCAGTTTTGGAGTGTCTATTGTACTCTATGAGATTAGTCCAAAGATCCATGTATTTAATTTTAAGTCGCTTCAATTCTGCTCTGAGTACTTAAAGTTGCAAATTTTGCCATATTTGTTTCAACTTTGACCTTGCATTTGTTTGAGTGGTCAATTTTCCATTCCCTCTCGAACTTTCAAGGGGCATATCTCAAAGACCATTAGACCTAGACAGCTGAAATGTTGGATTCATCTGTTTCTTATAACTCCCAGTACACGTGATTTTTAACAGCAAAATTCCAGTTGGTGCAGCAACCAACCTCACAAAAATTGGACCACTTGACATGGAATGACTCACATATGAAAGCAAATATTCAGTCCTTCATTCCTTCAAGGTCTTATGGCTTTGTTAACTTTTGTTTTGAAGTCCCCTATGGATACAAGTCTAGTGGTAAGAGATGACAAGGGGTTTGCAAGGCAAAGTTACTTATTACCAGGAATTTCAATTTATCCTGTTTTAGAGGCACCCTGTAAGATAAAATGAGGCATAATAGGACTTTCTATAGGTGGCAGAATCTTTGGAAGGTTGAATTTTTTTTGTAACTATTTACCTATGAACAACCCTCTTACATAACTACTAGGGTGGTTTCTTTCAGCAGGAGGATAGACCTTAGTTGATCCTGCTGATTAGAGCCTCAATCCATAATTGAACTAAGAAAGCAGCACCTTGTCCTTTTGAAGAACAAAAGTGTAAGATCCTTCACAAGAGATCACAACTAACCTGCTGAAGAATGTCTTTTCCCTCAGGAGAAAGTTGGATGGACAGCTTGAAACGTACAGGCTTGTGCAAGATGTTGTATGTCATCTCACTTTGATCACGACTGTAGAATGGTGGGAAACCCGTTAGCATTTCATAAAGGACAGCACCAAGACACCACCAATCCACTGAACGATCATAAGGCTGAAAGAGATGGGGCAGAAAATGTTTTTTAGCCAGCATGTTCTTGCATGAATAGGGAAGCTGTTTCATGAGATTTAACACAACTGGAAGAAATGAAAAATTGGCCTACTCTTTTCTTTATGACTTCTGGTGCAAGATACTCAGGAGTACCACAAAATGTTGAGGTGGTATCATCAGCCAGGAGGCCTTCCTTGCACAGACCAAAATCTGTGAGAACAATGTGCCCATCTGAATCAAGGAGGATGTTCTCAGGCTTCAAGTCTCGATAAACTATCCCTTTGCTGTGTAGATACCCAATTGCAGAGGCAATTTCTGCCCCATAGAAGCGTGCTCTTGGTTCTGAGAAGCTCCTTTCCTTCTGAAGATGGAAGAATAGCTGGAAGAAAGAATAATCTTATTTTTCACTGAACAGGAGACAGGAGGTCTAGAAAGTCAATTTCATGGCTTCCTACCTCTCCCCCATTGACACAGTCAAGGACAAAATAAAGCTTTTCACGAGTTTGGAAACTAAAATGGAGGGACACCAAGAATGGATGATGGATATTTTGAAGGAGGACATTTCGTTCTGCCATGATGTGCCTTGTCTCATTCTTCTTTATGATCATCTTCTTCTGGAGAACCTTTACTGCATACACCTTCCCTTCTGAGCGATGACGAGCCAGAAGCACTCGACCAAAGGTTCCTTTCCCGATGACTTTCAGAAATTCAAAGTCCTCAGGGCATGCACTATGACAAAGATTATAAACATGAGTTCTGTGCTATTCTTAGAATACATTCTAAAATGCTTAAAAAATCCTTAAATAGGAATTTAAAAAAAAACTTAGTTTCTTATTAAAAATGTCAAGTCAATGACACTTTTGTTGTTAAGTCACTGGTAATCACAATGATAAGTAAAAAATGTAAAAAGTCATCACTCACTGGGGTCTCTCAGAAGGGCCAAGGTTAAGATGTTCCTGGTCTTGACTGGAAGTCTCTGAGACTGTATCTCCTGTAGATAGTTCATCTGAGCTTTCACTGGACTTTGATTTATGCTTGTTCAATCCCAGAAATTCCTGCACTTCAGGTCTGCACAAAATATGGCAAAAGAAAGGGGCATAAGGCAACATTACTCAAGGAATCTGCAATTAGGCTAATTAATGATTGAAAAAATCTCAGTAGCTCACAAAGAATTGACAAAAAAGGTATTGATTTCATTGGTTACAAACTTGAATTAAAAGCAAGGCCTTTTACTCCAAACTGGTTTGATTTTGCTACAAAAATAATCCTCTGCATGTCTTGTGCTATCAAAACCATAAATCTACTTTCCTTTATGGAAGCATGAAGTGAAAGGATTGATAGAAACCCTTTATGTACCTATCCTGCCTAGAAGGAAATTATGCAAGAGAACCATAAAAAAAAGCAAAAATTCAAGTGTGGAACCCATTAGTGGAATTAATTTGTTGGCATTCTAACCATGTCAACATCATGTGGCAAGAGGATCTATTAGGACTAGAAATATATTTCTGCATTTAAAAAGGATTAAAAGATCTTAGTCTTTACTGTGAATAGGTGATATGTCTATCAAAATAGTCATCTATTCCAGTATCTTGAGAGCTCATTAGTTTCAAGGTCATGCAACTTACAAATTCTGGAGGACTTCATGTGCCATTATTTTCCTCACAAAATCATTCAAACCAACTTGTCGTGACTTTATGAAGAGGGGGTCAAAATTGTTTCCAAACAACTTCTTCCCTGGTAGCTTGACATGGAGCCATGGGTGAGACTTCTTGAGAAATGCATAAAGATTATGGAATTCATTGTAGCGGCGGAAGACAAACCATTGACTCTTCTCATCCTCGACCACAACTTTGTACACCTGGAAAGAAACAGGACTATTCAATATTGAAAAAAGTTTCACTTCCTTCATAATGAGGGTGCATGAAAAAATGGAAAAGGATTAAATGATCTGAATCAGACAGGCATAAGATCAGTGATGATACATTTTTGGCCCATGTGTGTATATAAGATTCAACATCTTGGTTAATATATAATAAAAGTGTCATTATGCCTAGTAATTTTAGACAGTGTACAACCCATCATTGAAGATCATTCAAGGTCTCTGTAGCTTTAACTCTTTCACTGTGGTTGTTGAATTTTTTCAAAAATACTGCATTCTGCAAGAGTTAAAGATTACAGCATCATACAACATATATTACAGTGAGACTACATGTTTATATATTTTAATGATATATTGATGGCAATAATTGAGGCTGCCAATGAATTTGGGAGTAAAAGATGACTCAAATGAATATTTCAGCCATGCTACCATATTTCAATTATGCCAGTGAACCTTTCAGAATTGGGACATGTCATTCATGGGGCAGGTAGGTGAAATTGATCCTCCCCTCCATTGAAGTCATGATCATCATATAAATGAGGCAGAGGAAATGTAGTATCTTCTGCCAGTGCAAGCTGGAAGAACATACTGTACTTGTTTCTCCTCATATTGAGAGGTTGCTGCTACTCCCTCCTCCTGGTGAAGTAACATGGTATTACCCTCTTCCAGCAAGAAATCAACTGCTATGGTGCTTTGTTGCTTGTAATTCCTTTAATCCTGTGTCTTGATACTCTGAGTCTTTTTTTTTTAAAGCACAGTGTACCCAAATTAGGACTTTCATCCCTGATGAAAGGTCACAGACTTTGATCTTTATTCTTTCTTCCTCCTCCTCTCAGTAGGCAAGTTTCTCACTCTTTCAGCAAAATGGAAGCACAATCTACTTGGTTCATGGGAACAGAAAACAAGAACTTATGAGATAAGCAGACTAAGACTCTGAAAAATCTAGCATGTGTTAGACTTCACGCAAGGAACTGCTTCAAATGATGTTGGCCTTGAGCTGTTAAGGTGGCACAGCATTAAAAACTAGTCTCACTATTAGAGCATGCTCTGCAATCACACATTTGTGAATCAGCAGGTGAGACTTTCTCAGGGGTTAGCAAATCACAGGTCTATCAATTCCATCTACCACTAACACAATTAGAGCCAAGCTACTTTATGGACTATGAAAAGTTTTATGTGAACTCACTGTGTATTTTTTGTTCTTCTCCCACATTTCTGAGTGAGACACAGAAGTAGAAGCACTTGTCACTTGTGCCTTCCCCATGACATTCGCTCGTAGCAACCCTGGAGAAGAAGAGGGAGACTCCATTGTGAGATTTTGAGTGAATCAGGAGCATTGAAGCAGCACCGAATTCAGCAGGATCAGTCACACCCAGGTGTTACAGCAAGTGATAATTTCAAGATCCTCCTGCAACACTCTGATGTGTTTGTGCCTTCAGCCTTGTGGCATGGTATCAGTTCACAAGCCACATCCTCACCTTATCTATCAAGTAGGCCTCAGCATAGACTAGAGGCCGAGGCTATAAAGATAATTCAAGGCCTAGGCCTAGGTCAGCTAGCGCAGGCAATCTCTGCTTATCAACAGGGTACATATCAATCAGTGTCATGATAGTATGCTCAATTCTGAAAATAACGCCATGGTTATTTTTATATGCTGTACCGCTTAAGTTTGGTTTTACGCCTTCCCTTACCTTGATCCTGTTAAAGGCTACTTTATGCTAAACCTAATTTTGGATGTAGGCATCAAATAAAAGGGCTATCTGTCCAGTGTTTTACTGAAGACTTCAAAAGATATTCTGCACGACTGCATGCCTATGCCTGGGCTACTCCAGAATTTTCCTCCCATATATGATCAAAACTGCAATAGGCCTGGGCTTTGGTCTACCGTTAGGTTATCGCAAGTCACTCATGTTAGCACATGATAAGCCTTGGGGCCTTGACTTTTCACGTATCTAGATTAACGTTAGACCCAAGCCTAACCTTCGAGTGGACGTGCCTGATTTCAGTCGGGATAGAAGATTTGGCTCCTTCACTCACAAGAAAAAAGCTGGAGGACCATGGGAAGAACTCTTGCCGGATGGTGTCACATTTGAAAATGCAAGTAGGCCTCGGCCAGTCGACGAGGCAGAAGGAGAGCCTTGGGTTTTTGGGAGCTAGGGTGGGTCACAGAGGCAAGCCCCGTAACTTCACACTAGATGGCTCTGAGATATGGAAGGAGTCTGAAAGTGTATTCCGTTTTTCGTCTGTGTGATATTAGTGTTGCCAGGATTTTGCCAAAGGCGGGCGGCTAGAGGGGACGAAGGTGGGAGGAGAAGGGTTATAACCAAACTTGGAGAGGCTGCATTTCCCCCTCCCCCGCCACGGCACTGGTGTATGAGCTTTATTTAGTACTCGGTATACCTTAACGTAAAATAAGTCAGTGCTTGTCTAGCCAGATTAAGATCAATTTAATCTCCATATCCCCATGGAAAAACAAATGAGCTAATTAGGGTAGGTTATATTATACAATAAATGCCAATTATTGTTATTACTGATTATTTTGTCTTCAGTTGAATAAAATGATCAAATCTTGGATCTAAAACCCCATCCCATGTTTCATGAATATTTTTCCATTCTTTGCGTTAGTACCGTCATGTGATCAAAAGTAAAAGTCCGATAACTCCATTGCAGGGTTTATCGAATCGCATGGAGGGGACGGAGAAGGTGGGGAATCTCACTTCCTGGGGGTTCAGGGAGACAAGGAAACTGGGAATGGCCTTAACATTTTAGACCAACTTTGAGGCCCTGGTAATAGCTAGCCCGCATCCAGACGACAAACAATAATAACGATAATATGACAAAAGCTGGTTTGCGAGTTTACATTGATGTCTGTTATCTGCCGCTTAATGACTGCATCGATGTGATCGCAATAAGTAGCGACCCTGAATAATAGTACCATAGTCGATTTTATCGCTTCAAAATGTTTGATGCGATTGAGACAAAATGTTGTTCCCACTGGAAAAATAATTCAGGGAAGTGAAGTCAGCTTCATCTGATATGTCTCCAGCTCCGGAGATATTGATTTAATCAAGGAGATGAAAACATTCATCTCCTGGATTCATCGTTGTGCTTGCCAGGGGTGCAAGTAAGGGGAGATTAAAAGGGTCTCAATTCTGCCTCCCTCTTCCATCTTGATAAGACCCCTCGCATCGAAGGCACATACAGAAGAGAGGGAGGGTGGGATAAGTATCTCGCCTATTATTGCGGCAGACATGTTTCTGCAGCCAGCAAAGTTCCGTTCAACAATATCTCTTCTCCTTCGCAACCCCAAGATCTCCCATCTTCTGCAGCCTCTGGAGTTTTCAGTAACTATACAGTACTTACGAAACCATTTGCAACATCAGTCGATGTATTTCAATCGTGATTTTTCGTGATTCTTCGTAATTCGTAATTTCTTGATTTTTTTTAGGTTGTTAAGAAGTCACGTTTGTGTGAATATTTTAAGGGTGCCCTCATGCAACAGCTGGAGGGTGAACACCAACTCAAAGGTAAACAAAAAAACTTTCGAAAGACAAGATCCACGGTTACAAAACCGATTTTTCTACGTCTGGTTTCTGGAGAATCAGCTAAAAGGAATCTCAGTCTTTCTGACCCTGGATACTAGGATACTCAATTTCGAGTATTTAAAGGAGGTGATTAAACCATCGGCACTGAAGTTTTCCTATTCGTAATACCTCTCTCGTTGATGGGACAAGTTCGTGATGACTTAGCCACCACCTCAAACTCTCTGATCCTCTTTGTAATCTGATTAATTAGCTCATCTCCAAAGAAGCCCAATTTGGTGAGACTTTGGGTATTTGCCTCTGGAGTGCATCCAAGTGGTCCATTCCTTCATGCGACAGAGATCTACTTCAGATTTATTACGTATCTCATTTAAATATATATTAAGGTGCAAACTTATATATCCTCCCCAAAGTTTCAAAAGTTTGGCTCACAAAAGATAGAATTCTTTTATGATAGCCGCTGAATGACGAGGAGGAAACGCCGAGGAAATTGGGGAACTCTGTCAGGTTGGAAACCTGCGGATGCGAATGCAGGAGCGGAGCGTTCCGTAAAAAATCTATTATCTGACGACTCGGTTCGTCGAATAGCAGATTATAGCGGAGTGGGCTCGTTTCCTAGAAAATCGTTTCCTAATCAGAACCAGCCCAGCTGAAGGTCCTTATTCAGACCTGATGGTTTCGAGACGTCACACTCTGCTAGGTGGAGCAGCGGCGGCCCCTGGCATATGGTGTTCTTGCAATCGGTTTTGGAACGTGTGACTTTCAAGGTTAGCCAGCATCAATTGACGATGGAGGTCATGTATTCAATGGAAGCGAACGAGAAAAAAATCCACGAAACGACCATCTGAATTGCACGATCATGCACCTGACAAGGAAGGAATCGCGAGGGCAGTGTATTGAAGGAAGCCGTTAAGAGGGGAGCCATTCCCACTGATCCCACCATGGAAATTGGAAGCTAAGTATAACCCATCTGCATCATCCTCGATTCGGTTCAGTTAGTTCATTTTCACAGGCACGAAGTCCCCCTATCCGTCCCACATCATCGTGCGGCTGCACGCACTGGAGCGTGGGAGAATGATTCGACAGGCAAAAGCAATAAAACATTTATTTTAATTCGTGTTGCTGGAATTAATGCATTCCAGACAGGCACTTTTAATGGGCAATGTTTCCTAGAACCAGAACCCGAAGTACTAGAATGCTCTAGCATAAGGACAAAACATTTGACATAGGCAGGGAGAAGACCTCGAGATCATTCAACCATTAGGTAAATAAATGCGTTATGTACATATCTACGCCTGAAACGGGTTCTGATCGTTTCTTTCCAAAAGTGTAAAAATGTTACCCCTTGGTAAATGCAATTATCACACGCAAGTTCTCGAGCTATAAAACTTTCAACTCTCAGGGAAAGTTTCCGGATTTTGGGGGGATTTTTTGGCTCGAAGAAAAGTTCTGAAAAATGAGGTGTAAATGTGTGAGTGCGCCTTTTTGGATGAAAAGTTTCCAAAACCGATGGATCGGACGAGGAGGTTTCATCCCATGACCTCCCAGGTCCCCAGACCTGACCCCTATGGACTTTTTTGTGGGGACACGTGAAGAACGTTGTGTACGCCACATGTCCAGGAAGCGTGGCTGAATTGCGCACGCGCAAATAGAGAACAGTCCGGAACATCACACTTGCCCAATTAGAGGCAGTTCTGGATAAGTTCACAAGAAGGTTGCATACATGTGTTGACAAAGATGGCGGACTTGTGGAAGTGTGAGATGTGTGATATGGTGTGCCGTAATATTTTTTTAGAGATAACATTTCAAATGATGCATATTACTCATTACTCATTACTCGCCACCCCTTTCCCAAGATATACGGACATGAAACCCCTTAGGGACTTTATGTCTATCCTTACAGTATATTCTCGGAGGGAAGCGATAGAATTATATTGCTGTCTTATCAAGATGACCTGCTTGACCAACATATATGTGTGTATCTAATAAGCAGTTGACACAAAGGCCAACAAATTCAAACTTCCATTACTTCACCCAAGCAAAGTACTGTGCCTGGCTAGCCATCAGCTACAGACACCTGCACTTCTCTACAATGAGGAAATGTCAAATGTAAGTATATAACTCGGTCAATCAAGCATTAAGCGCCAAAACACGATAACCAAAAAACAGGACAACAATTTAAAAGGAAGTGATAGAGAATTGAGCCTTTGGGTGCTGAAAGTTCTGTAGGGATCCTTGTCAGGGGCACGGTCCAACCAAAACCTTCTGTGTCGATCGATCATCTTCGGAAATCGACAGAGTGACGAAGAGTTAGAAGTGAAAAGAGCATGGCTGTGAGGTTGCCAGGTGACCCTACGCACAACTTCACTACCTAAGTCCATCTCACAACCACCACAAATACACACTCCATTGGCTGGAGACAGCTCACGCTCGTGGTGCTATAGGGCAACCAATGCGAGTGTACTGTGGAGGTGGATATGACGATGCTCAGGGGAGCAACCAACCTCCAACCAACAGCCAAGGAGAAATTAAGCTCTATTAAGGCCAGAACTCTTTTTGCTACTGAATCCTGTATTGCATTACAGCCGCCATATGCGCGCAGAAGACAGAACGATGCATGGGGCACGCTGACGCGGTGCTTTTTATTCTCGGGTGGTGAGCATACATTTCACGGTTCCCTCATTTTCTTCCTGCGCCATTTCTATGCGAAAGCGGCGAAGGATTTCACGCTTTACAGTTATGAATTAATGCTCCGGAAAATCACAGTAATTAGAGCCGAATGATGTAATTTGTCATGCTGTCATGGTTCTTTGTACCTAGATAAATAAGAGTTTCATTTAAAAACGTTCAACAGTTTATCCTCAACGAAAATGCTCACTAAAGCAAAGCAAGGCAAGAATGAAAGGCTGTGCTTGCAGAGGGAGATCGAGTGGCTCAAGTGACTGAATGAACAGCCGCTTTCTCTGCAAATGTCTCCCTAGATACTGTCGTCTCCGTTGGGACACAATTCTCTCCTCTCCTCGGAACAGCGTGGGAATATACGATTGTCAATAGTTTATTATTGCTCAACCACCTTCTCTAAAGATTGCCACCCAGTTGCGTCATTACTCGTTGCATCTCGCTCATGTGGAGACCTATTCCTTGTCCGAAATGGCTCAAGTCCGTACCATGCTTTTCGCTATGGAGATTCCACTAAAGGTTTACTCCCGTGTAGTAATACTGGTCTCCAAAGAGAACCATGGGAGACTCGGGTGAGACTCTCCACATCAAGAAACTTTACTATCATTTGCCCGAGGAAAGGTATCTATTCTATAAATGAACCAATGCAACAGCTTTCCTCAACTTTAATGTATCTAGCATCTTTCTCT